AGTTGAATATGATCCCGAAGTTATAAAGTTTCAAAGTTCTGCTACTTCGAGGTAAAATTTAACATATATATATATATATGGTTTTTCATGTTTTCATACGCATATATAAAATACAATACCTAATATTACTATTTAAAGAACTGGCATGTCAGCAATGGCCTTTGCTGAAGGATTATTTAATGGCTTTGGCTCTTTAGGCACTTGTAAAAGTCAACCAGTGTACATTTCTTCCGTTCCTTCGGTAATTTTTTTTTCTACTACGCCATTTGAGAAATATTTTTTGTCAAACCCGTTAACATATTACGCCTTACATAGGCACAAGATTCTGTGTTGCGACCATATTTTTGTCCACGTTTTAGTGCGACCGTTTCTAACATTAGTGCTAATGAATATGCCCAAGAACAAATTTATCCATATGGAAACACGACCCTAAATAAAATTGCCGAGCGTCTTTCTAAAGAATACGATATCGATCTTGATCCACTTTTAGTACCAGCTATTTTTACTTATTGCCAATTTTATGTTACTTTTTATGATCGAACTGACACGTGGTGTTCATTACTAAGTCCTAAGGAACTTCTATTATCACGATATTATATCGATCTTACACAGTATTACACGCATCAATATGGTCATCCTTTAAATAAACGAATGGGATGTGCCTATTTCACTCAACTTGTAGATGGAGTTGAAAGTTATTTAAACGGGACATCTTCTGTGATAGCTGATCTAAAGAATTCACATGGCCTTACTATGATCTTAGATCTTACCTCATTAGTATGTGAAAATATCCATTCCATTTTATTTTATTTATTTATTTTTGGTGCACACATATATATATTAACTTTTAATTACAGGGACTACTTAAAGAAAAATTCGAACTCACGGCAGATTTATCCCTTGAAAAAATCAAACAAATCAATACAACAATATATACATCTATACATTGGTCTTCTACTCTTTATTTTGAAATCTATACTTGTTCAGATGATTACAAAATGACGTATTGATACGAGTGTTACTTGACTTTGAACCACTTTTGATTCCGGGTTGTGATAATGAATATTGTAAATGGGAAACGTTTAAAACGATTCTTGGCGATCAGATTGGATGCGATTGGGACGAGATGTGCGCTTATCCTTGAATGATGATTAATCTTTTCTTTACTATTATATTATACGTGTATCTTAAATATTTTTACGCAAAGAAATTTTTTTTTTCTATAAATGATAAAATAAAAAAATATGATTCTACTAATGTTATGATGTTATTACATACAAAAATTTTATTGTACTTAAAAATGAATTGAGATTTTCAAAAAAATTATATTATATTATATTGTTACCGGGCAAGATGAAATAGTTATTTCGGGACCTGCATTATTATTAGACGATCATAGAAAATTAAATTCTTGATGATTTGCGCTTTTGTGGTCCCACAGCAAAAACAGGTTCTCGGCTCAAAAAAAAAAAATTTTTTTTTTTTGAAACTAATTTTCTCAAAAAATATTGTTATGTTAGGCCATATAGAGGAAGAAAAAAAAACTTCTGAAACAGGACCTACTGCACAATGTGAAGAAGATGACTGTGGACCATTGTCACCAATGAACATATATTATAGAAAGAAATATTTTGTAATATAATTAATATAATTTGAAAATCATTTAGACTTTTAATTGTAATGTAATATGATTTGGAGTAAAAAAAAAAGAAATTTATCAAAATACTTTATTAGAGTTATTTTAAGTTCACTTTTTTTTCAATTGTTTCTCAGTAACAAAACATTTTAAGACATGATCCGCCTAAGAACGGCACTATTGACATATAAAGAAGTAGGGTAAATTTATGTATATTTTAAGTATGTTTCGAATCTTTTATAGGTCAAAAACATAATAATCCATAATAATTTTTAAAAAATTGATTTTTTCAGTGTATAAGAAAGTATCTTTTATTTTTTTGAAAAATTCATCAAACTTTTTACAAAACAATAGCCAAATAGTATACTTAGCAGATACTAAAACTTCATTTATGACTATTATGTACCAATTTATACTTACCTATAGGCAGCTGATGATTTATAGTTTTATTAAATAACTTATGCCAGATTTTATTATAAAACGAGTGCCGGTCTTAGCCAGATCACGTCTTAAATAAAATAAAATAACTTTTAAATAAGATCCTAACTATAGTTACACAATAGTTTTAATCTATATCAAATTAGGATAGGCTTGTTATTTAACTAATAAGGTACTCATAAATTTATTTGCAATAATAATTAATAAAAAAAATATATAATAATTTATTTATAAAAAATATATTTAAACGTTTATAAACATAATATAAAAATATATAGGTATTTATTCATTTATAAGAATATATAGACATATAATAGATATCTACAAAGATTATTTGCTCCAGACTCCCGTTTCTTAGTATTATTATAATATTCTAAATTACTAATTTGCGATATCTATCACCCAATAGAATAAATATTTAAAACTGTACTAATTGCTCCGTTATTGCTCATATCCATATGAAAAAGATACGTTTATTTGCTACAAACTATCATGCTGTGAAAAAATTTAATGAATTATATATTTGTCACATAACGCATGATATTCCTCTGATCTCCACTTCTGTTAATTGGTTTCCTACATACGGAGGAATTCATTTCGAATTAGCAAGAAATCCAATACAATTGGATCCGGGAGAAGTTGTCGAGGAATTGTAATTCTAGGAAATGTATCATAATACAAACAATCCAGTGAAATTTGGATAACACATTGACCCAGTTGAATACTTTTTGGATTCTCATCTTTGTCATGGGTACTAAATTCAAACTAATAATTAAGTATAACATTAGGAAATTATTGTTTGTGACATTACGTAAGCTCGATGTGGGATACCTTCGTATCTAGTTCGTTTGTTTGTGATGCAAAAGTGCCAAGCCTACAATTGATTAAATTCTTTAGAGTGACGCAAACATTGAAATGCAACCTGCACCTTAGGAAATATAATTTATCTGCATGCGTTTAGGCGGTTCGTCATCAGAAACTGTATCGATTTTGATAATTATTGCATCATGGACGCGACTATAATTACCGAGCCAATATTCTTTTACCTTATTCAGGACATGTTGCTCGCTTTTAGAATACGCGACTTCAACGATAAGATTTGGCCAAAGTTCTTTCTAAAATCATAAAAGTTGAAACTTCTGTGCTGAAGAGTTCGGAACAAATGCAAAGAAGGTACCTTTCCATCGCTCCCGTTTGGTAGTCGCACTGGTGGTTTTGAAGGGCTAAAACATGCATCAGCTTTTTTACCGGAATTGTCAGCACGAGCCCCTTAAGCAAAACAAAGATTAATCTAATATTACAGATGTAAGGCTGAGACAGTTAGTGTATTAATAGTTATGAATTGCACCAAGACTCCCAATATTGGCATCAGTTCCATTACAGATATGCATTGCTTGAATATTTCTTCAGAGATCGAACCAATAAAAGCTTCGTGGTACTTTAATGGGAATTCCTAAATAATGACTTTATAATTGACTCATTCCCAAAGACCACAGACGTTAAATTCATCTGTACGACGTTCATACTCCTCTAATGTAATTCCCTCAGCAAGAACGTAAGGAAATCTTGATAAATTACCAAAAATTGGTTTATATGAGTCAATAGCTCATAAAATTATTCAGTAAACGTCAGAAAAAACTTACATTGCCTCTTCCCAGTTTGCTTGCGGGTGTATGTTGCCCTCTTCCCACCATAATCGGCGGAGCTTTGTTAATTCTCCATCAGGTTTATGAACAACATAAGTGCTATTGTTACAAAGAAATGGCTTTAGTTAGCAAAAAATAAAAATAGATGTGTAATATCAGTTGTAATATTTATTTACCTTTGATTCGAGGTAATGGAGGTATTGGCATTATCTACAATAAAAATGTAATGTCAGTCAAAGGATTTGAAATGAAGTTAAAAATCACACACCACTTGACTGTGATCTGTTAATTCTGTTAATTCTGCTAACTTTTGACGAGCTAGAGTCATAACCCTGATAAATTGGCGTCTTTAGCTATTTTGCAAGTATGTGTGAAAGTTTTGAAAGAGAAATCAATTGATTTAAATATTTCCGATCACTCGCCAAATTATGGTCCAATCAAATCTGTTAGTGATACGGGTAGACATATATTCTACATGTGATTTGCAACTACTATTAATTACAGATTATCGTTTTTTTAATTCAAAAAAAAAATAAAATAAAATGGCAACAAATAACGAACAAGCTGTTACATATGCTGCTCTTATTCTCGCTGATGACGGTGTAGAAATTACTGTAAGAAAATAACATTAATATTTATTTTATTATTTTATTTTTTGTTGGAGGGAGAAAGAGGAGGGGAGAAGTCGTTATTATTATATCAAAATATGATTTTAAAATTATTTATAAATATCTATAAGAATAAAAAGATATATAGAATAAAAGATACTTAATAGAATAAGGATGGATGAGATGGATGGATAGAAAAAAATAATAATTATTTGTTGATGAATTTTATAAAAATGCAATTATTTAATTATTTATATTAGATATAACATAAATGATTATTATTTTTTTTTTCTATATAGGCAGATAAATTACTAGCATTAACAAAAACAGCCGGAATTGAAATTGAACCAATATGGGCAAATTTATTTGCCAAAGCACTTGAAGGCAGAAATGTTAATGATTTATTGATGAATATTGGTGCCGGTTTGTATTTATTCAATTGATATTATATCATATCATATCAATTATTTTTTTGATATTATATTAATTATCTTTGATATTATATATACTGTACATTCTATTATATTTATTAATTATCTCTGATATTAATTAATATTAATAAAGGCGGAGGAGCACCAATGGCCGGTGGAGCATCGGGTGGTGGTGGTGGTGGTGGTGGTGCAGCAGAAGAAAAAGCAAAAGAAGAAGAAAAACCTGCTGAAGAAGAAAAGGAAGAATCTGATGACGATATGGGATTCGGTGAGTATTTTCTATCTCTTAATTCTCCTAATTCTCTTAAATTTTTAATTTCAATTTCAATTTTAATTTTAATTTCAATTTTTTTTTAATTATCAATTCAAATTAGGTTTATTCGATTAAAAAATTTAAAAAATTTAGTAATTTTTGTAATTATTAAATTATCAATTAGAAATAAAAAGTATGTTAATTATTGTAGTAGTGATAGTATTTTTATTATTATTATCTTATTATTTGAATAAAGAAAAAAAAATTCTTTATTTTTTATTTTATTTTTGGAAATAATCATTAATTTTTTTATTATTTTTTTATTTAAAAAAAAAAATAAATAAATAAATACGTACCCTGTTGTTACAAAAGTAATTTCAAATAATTAATAAATTCACAACAAATGAAATGCCAAAAATTAAAATTATATTTAAATATTGAAAACAATTAATTTATATACTGTACATAAATATATAAATCTAAAATATTTAAATGACTATAATAATTAATTAATTGTCTTTTTAATAATCATCACCTCGACTAACAACTTCTTTACAAGTAGGTCTTAAAATAATAGTATGTTCATATTGAGCAGTATAGGAACCTTTTATATCAACCAAAGGAGGATAAGATTCAACGATACCAGAATCAACCAAATTCTTCAATGCCAATGCATATCTAGTTTCACCGATACGATCAAGGTATCGACGACAAAATGGTAAAGTTCCAAAATTTTTATTAATTGAATTTAATAATGATTTTGCTCTGGTTACTCTATATATGTTTGATTTAAACACAAGTTAATCACGAGTTAATAATCGAGTTAAAATCATCAAGTTAAATCATAATAAATTAATCACAATTTAATTATTTGAAAAAATAATAATACAATACCGAAGAGGAATATGACCAATATCTTGACGTTTTGCATAATGACTACATTCACCATCTTCATGAACGTAACCTTTACCTGTACTTCCAAATGTTTCAATAGCAAAAAATTCACCTTCCTATTTTATAATGATTTATAATTATTATTTTAATTATATTATTATTATATATTATTATTACAAATAACTATATTTGTTATCATTAATATTTACCTCCATTTTAGTGGTAGCTTCACTATTCTTTACAATTGGAACAGATTTTCCAGCATGAATTGTGTATGGTAAAATGGAATGTCCATTTAAATTTCGAATTGGTTTGACTTTATTTATTATATAATTTTTAAAATATAAAAAAAATTTTAATATAAGTTATAAAATTATTATATATGTACATTCATTTATATATATATATATATATTTTATAATCTTTACCTTGATAAGTCTTATTGTTTATTTCCACTTCATAACTTTCCATCACTTTTTTTTTAATAAAATAAAAATATATATATTAATTATGTATCAGAATATATTATATATTCAAATATCAATAAACATAATAAATACCTTCTTGAATTGCAGTTCCTATATCACATAATCTAACATCTATTCCTGCTTCCTAAACAATTTATTTATTTATTTTATTTTATTTATTTATTTTTATTTATTTATTTATTATTATTAATTATTAATTAATTATATTATTATTATATTACATACACGAACTCCAGTATTTGTAGCATCTCTGACAGCTTCTTTGAGTTTATCATAAACCGGATTAAATGTAAGCGTAAATGCTGAATCAATGATACGACCTATAATATAAAAGCAATAATAATTAATTATTTATTTATTTTTGATTATTGAAATATAAAAATCGAATAATAATAATAATAATTACCATTGATATGTGTTCCGAAATCAATTTTACAAACATCATCATATTGTAAAACTATTTTGTCACCAGAATTTGGAGTATAATGAGCTGCACAATGATTTAATGAACAACCAGTTGGAAATCCAATTCCTATATTTCAAATTATAAAAATTATAATATTATAAATATTATATTTCAAAATATATTAAATTAATCATCATCATCATCATTAGTAAATAATGAAATAATGAAATTGTATCCTCTGAAATAGACCAATTCATCTTATTAAATATTATTAAAAGTGAAAGGTGAGTAACAAGGATATATTTAAATTAATATTGTTTGCATAAAAATTGTAAATCATCTATAGATATTTAAATAAAGATGAACTCAGAGTGTAGCAAACATAATTATAATAATAATTGTAATAATTATAATAATAATAATAATAAATAATAATTATTTTTATTGTATTGTTATTGTTATTATTTATTTACCAGCTTCTAATCCATTCTCCTCAATTAAAGCACGTGTTCCATCCTCAATTAATTCACATATTTCGGTCATTGTCATTCCTGGTTTAATGGTTTTTTGTGCATATTTTCGTACCTATATTAATTATTATATTAAAATATTATAATTATATTATTATTTATTATATCATTATTCATTATATTATTATTCATTATATTATTTATTATTATATTTACTTGTCGATGTACTTCAGCAGCTTTTCGAAGATCATTATAAGCATCAAAATGTATTCTATCAAGATGTCGTTTTTCTTCATTAGTTATTCTCTTCAAATTACTATTTTTTTTTTTTTATTTATATATTTACATAATAATAATAATAATAATAATAATTAATATATATATATATATATATATTTTAAATAAAACTTTTAATAATAATATTATAATTACTTACTCATTTTTATATTCACATATTTCTCCAATTGGATATTTTCCATCAGGGAAAAATTTACTAACTGGAATTCTAGGTGGTTCAGATTGTTGAATTGTAGAAGTATCATTATTATTATTATTATTAATATTTACTCCTGATTCTTCTACCTTTCCTGTCTTCTTTTTTGATTTCTTCTTTTTCTTTTTCTTTTTTGAAACTTTAAATTATAATTAAAGATATATATATTGAATAATTAAATTAAATTATAACAATAATAATATATTGAATAAATTAAAATTAAATTAAAACTAAATTAAATTAAATTATAAATTATATTAAATTATTTATCGATTTATCAAATTAATAACATACCTTCACCTCCTTCACCTCCTTCACCTCCACCAGCTTCAATTCCTTCTTCTTCTTCATTCTCTTCTTCTATTTCCTTGGGATTATCTTCAATATTAATATAATTAGTTATTTGTTCAAAGAATTTAAAGAATTAAATGTTATTAAATATTATAATTATTATTATTATTATTATTATTATTATACCTGTTTCTGTTGTTTCAGTTTCCTTTACGTTTTCAGTAGTTTCAGTAGTATTACTATTAGCAGTGTTGGTTTTCTTTTTCTTTTTCTTCTTTTTCTTTGTTATTGCTTCGGGTGTTAAAGAAGTTAAATCATTCTTTTCCATTTCTTCCACTTCACTTCCTTTAACAATATTATCATTTTGGTTTTCTTTAAACATTTAGAAAATATATTATTGTTATTATTTTTATTAGTTCTGAACGGAGAAAAAAAAAAGTGATTGAATTTTAAAAATCAGTTCAGTATTTGATATTTGATAATCTTCAATTCAATTGTTATTTAATTTAATTTTAATTTTTAATATAATTTTAATTTAATTTTTAATTTAATTCAAAAATGTCTATATTTCCCGAACCACCAAAACCTAACAATGATAATGAAAATTTTCTCAAAGAATGGAATAAAGTTCCTTTATTCATGACTGAATTACCTGAAGAAGAAGAAGAAAGTGAAACTTTGGCTGCTTTACAATCTTTAATGTACGAAGGTTCCCCTGAAGGTATCAAAAAATTTTTATAACATAATTATCATAATAATAATAATTTAATTAATTAATTTATTTATATATATATATATGTGTATATATATAGAAATTGCTGATAATTTTAAAAATCAGGGTAATGATTGTTTTAAGAACAAGAAATATCAAGATGCAATTATTTATTATACTAAAGCATTAGAAGAATCAAAATGTCAAGATAATAAAATTCTTGAAGATTGTTTAACTAATAGAGCTGCGGTAAATTTGGAATTACGTGCGTAGTATGTGTATTTATTAATTAATTAAATTTATTTTATTTATTATCTATTGTAGTTATAGTTTCTTAATTAATTAAAATTTATATATTGATCATTTTATAAATAAATTTTATAATAAATAATAATAGAAAATTATCGGAAAGTTCTAACAGATTGTGCTAAAGCAATAAAATTAAATCCCAAAAATATTAAAGCATATTATCGATCCGCCAAAGCTTTATATGAACTTGATAAAATTAATGAAGCAATTGATTGTTGTGATCATGGAATAAAAGTATAAAATTAATATATATATATTTTTTTTATATGTATTTATATTATTTATGTATTTATGTATTTATATATTTATATCATTTATATATTTATATTATTAAAAGGTTGGATTAAATAATACAACTTTATTAAAATTTAGGGAAAGTTGTATTAAAAAGAAGGAAATTCTGGATACAAAAATTCGGTTAAGAAAAGAAAGAGAACTAAAAGAAAGAGAAGAAAAAGATGCTCTAGAAAAAGTTTTAAAGGTTGGTTATAATTTTCATTCTTAATTTCTCCCTCCCCTCTCGCCAATACAATAATTAAAAAATTTCGTTTCATTTTAGTTACGTAACATAAAAATGGAAATAACCAACAATATTGATAATAATAATTCATCAGTACATCTTAATTCGGAAAATCAATTAATTTGGCCAGTCATATTTTTATATCCGGAATATAAACAATCAGATTTTATTACTGAATTTAATGAAGAAAACACTTTTCAAGATCATTTGGAAATTATGTTTGGAGAAGAAAATTCTGCTCCTTGGGATATTTCAAAAAAATATATAAACATTGATAAACTTGAAATTTATTATGAATACAATTTAACTGAAAAAGGAGGAACACCAAGATTATTGAAAATTAAAAAGAATTGTAATTTAAGAAAAGTTTTATCACATCCCAAATATCTTGTTAAAAATGGAATTCCTAGTTTTTTTATTCTATCTGATCTTAGTGGTGAATTTAAGAATAAATTTTTAGCAAATTATAAATAATCAATAATAAAAATGTTTGAATAATCGAAACAATAAATAATTTAATTTAATTTAATTTTTTAATAATAAATAATTTAAATTTTTAACATAAATAATAATACATTTACTAAATTGTTTATTTATTTAGTTATTTAGTTATTTAGTTATTGATTTATTTGATTTATTTATTTATATATTTATTTTAGTTATTCATTATATATTTTTTTATTATATCTAACTAGATTTAATTATTGAACACTATTCCTTCTTTCTTCAATACTTTTTCGTCTTTGTTCTGCTTTTTCAAATAATGACATGATGTAATTTTGTTTATCTTGATCTAAATTTTTGGTAAGTAAAGCGTATGAAGTTGGATAATGTTGTTGAATTCCTAAAAAATAACAAATAACAAATATTTAATAAAAATGTCAATTTTCGTACGTGACACACGCACACACACACACACACAGTTGAAAGAAACATATCAACATACCAACAAAAACTTCCCGAAATCTTATATAAACATCTAATTTATCTAGAGGTGATTCATATGTGACTTCCTCTTCTAATATATCATCATCGTCATCATCGTCATCTTCATGATTATTACCTTCTTTAGCAGCCTGAAAAAAAATATTTTTAATAAATAATTCTAATATAATAATTCTAATATAATAAATAATTAATAATTAAATAATCATCTTACTTCTTGTGCTAAAAATTCTAAATATTTCACATCCTCATCTATTACATTCTCATCACCTTATAAATAATTGATATGATGATAATTGAGGATTTAAATTATTTAATAAAAATAATGTTAATATTATTAATTCACTATTTATTTATCATTTTTACCTATGTCCTCTTCAAGATCTTCAAAAGGATCCTCATCGTTCTGTTCATCAAAATCATTATAAAGTTTTTCCAAGTGAGCGCGATCTATTATTATTATTTATTAATGTAGAAATTAAAATAAACTTAAAAAGAAATAAAACTTTTTAAATCAAACTTAAAATATGCATAAAAATGAGAGATTACCTTCTTCGGCTTTGGGTAATGATTTAAAAACTTCCAAAATACCATCTAAAACTTGTGACCATCCAGCTTGTAAAGTATGTGGTAATTGTTCAACCGGTAATTCGATTAATGCACAAAGAGCTACGATTACCAGTTTTTTGTCGTGAACCCGAGAAAATTTATTTATATAGGAAAACCATAATGTAAAGAATGATTGAGTCATTCCACGTTCTTCGAGGTTATGAAGAGTTAAAACTGGGTTATAGTAAAGACAATTTATTACCTGAATCATAATAAATATATTGAATCATAATAAATATTAAGTGAATATAAATATTGAGTTAAAATAAATATCAAGTAAATATAAATAATTGAGTAAATATAAATATTGAATAAATATATATTTTATTCTTACAATTTCTATACAATGAATTTTAAAACTCATGCCGGAAATATTTTTTAAGTCGGGTAAATAATGAAAAGCGAGCTCCAAAAATAATCCAACATACTAAATTCACAAATAAATTAATTTATAAATAAATAAATCAAAAGAAAGAAAAGGAATGAAATAATGAATGAAATCAGTTACCATAATACCTGATCTACATATCCTCGACAATTTAACAATACTGACTCAGCTAATTTACAAGCACACGAACGATCACCCTCTCCTAAACGATCACTTTTCATAACCTACACAATACATGAATTACATAAGATTATTATTATAAAATTATAAAAAAAAAATTTACATAAAATATATATATATATATATATAACATACTGTCTCAATAATATCATAAATCATGGATTGTAAATTGGAATTGTGTACAAATACTTCAGTTCCATAAGATATATAATTATCCAAAGAAGGAAGAATTTCTAAAAAATAAATAAATAAATACATACATAATATTATAATGTGATATAATTATTATAATATTATAATGTGATATAATCATAAACATAAAGGACATAATTACCTTCCATATAATCAATACCAGTTTCATCATTGTCACCCTTGAAAGTTTTGTAAATTAATTCAAATATTTCCCACATTAAAGGTGAAATTTTTTTTGTAGAAAAGGTACAACTATCAACGATACCGAATACGTCATCATACAATTCTAAATAAAAAGGTGGTTCCAAAAAGTCGGTGAGTATCCAAGTTCATAAATAATAATAAAAAAAAAAAAGAAATATAATAAAGAAATTTTCTTTCTTTTTCTTACCAGATATTCTATTTTTTAATGAAAATGTTACTACAGGTATAAGTGTATTTTCCAATCGTTCCAAAACTTCTGGTGTACTTTCTAAACTTAATATCAATGTTGAAATGGTTTTTAATACGCCAGCAGCTGCAAGTGTTTTATCATCAATTTCTAAATCATCGGCTATTTCGAAATCTTCCTTTCCAGGAATTGCTAGCTCATTTTGAAAGTCTTGCATTATTCGAAGAAATGTATTTCTCTAAATTAATATATTCATAAATAAATTTTATTAAATAAAAATAAAATAAAATAAATAAATAAAATTAAAAATTAAAAATTAAAATTAAAAAATTAAAATAAATTAAAATAAATTAAATTATACCAGTTGTTCACATAATTGAACAGCAAAAGGACCTAATTCCTTAGCAAAAACTTCAACAAATTCTTCCATTACGGTAGAGAGAGTATCGCTATCGATTTGATTGGTAAGATCAAGAAGTTCTAATTAAAAAAAAAAATTATTATTATAAAAAATAGATATACAAATAAAAAAAAAATAAAATAAAAAAAAATATTACTTTGCATAACAATTGGTAAATCCGGAATTAATGCAACCCGTACTAAATATTAAAATAAAATAAATAAATAATTAAATAAATAATTAATTATTTTAATATAATTTTTATAATTATTAATAAATTGAGAATAAACATTATTATTAATTTTTTTTTTTTACCTGTTTCATTATGTATTAAACCTTGTAAAGCCAAACAAGCTTGAATTTTTACCGGAAGTTCAGTATCATTCATACATGAAGTAACTCCTTGAAATGCGGTAGCAAGAGTAGTTTCATGTTCAAAATCTATATCATTAAATTTTACTAGCATGTCACATGCCTAATAATAATAATAATCACAATAATATAATATGAATAAAATAATATGAATAAAAATAATATGAATAAAAATAATATGAATAAAAATAATATGAATAAAAATAATATGAATAAAATAATATAAATAAAAAAAATATATATAAATAAAAAAAAATATATAAATAAAAAAATATATAAATATCATTAAACCATATTTACCCTTGCCCTCAAATAAGGATATTCACTTATAAATTCGGGGAAAACATGCATAATTAAGAATCCTTCCATTAAATGTATAACCCCATATTTCTTACGTAAAATTAAATCTGATAAACATCCAATCATTTTAAGTGCCCCATCTTTTGATCGAGGATTTTTATTTTCCGGTGAAGCATTTTGATAATTAATTAAAACCGCCGTAATAAATTCCATAATATTTACGAATGTATGTTTCTTTCGATGTTTGGCTAAATCCATTAAAAATGCGATAGCGGATGAAACGGGGGATGTGAAATCTTCTAATGGATCCATTTTTTTATGAATATATTCAACTGGATCTTCTACCCATAATTCTTCATCTTCATCGGAAAAACATAATTGAGGAAATAAAAATTGTGAAACCAAGGTTTGACTATGTGGTTTTATTATTTGCCAAGTAGTTTTATGGGTGATTCTATATAATAAATTTATATATGGTGAATTTTATATGATTATAAAATTTATATAATTTATATAATGAATTTTATATATATATATATATATATTTATATAATGAATTTATATAATTTATTTAATAAATTAAATAAATAAATATATAAATTTTATATTAAAATAAAAATTTTAAAACTTACGCATCTTTAAAAAAATCAGAACAGAAATATAAGATTTTATCACTCAACCATATTTCTTTTTTTATCCATCGTTCGGTTTGAAGAAGATATGTTTGTAAAATTTGGGGACCAAAATTAAGTATAAAATTTTCCGCAAATGTACCATATTTTGTGGAAGGTGGAAGTTGAGCAGGATTTCCATATCTTGAAAAAAGTCGATTTAAACTTCTACAAGCCCATCTTTGAGCTCGAAACCAAATAAATTTTTGCCTTTCATCTAATTCATTAGGAATTATTTCTTGAGGAATAGGTTTTTCAAATAATTGTAACATTAAAGTTACCCAAGGTACAAGAGAATTATCATTTTGTAATGGAGCGGGAAGGTCATACTGTAAAATAAATAAAATATAATAAATGAAATATTATAAATAAAAATATTTATAAATAAAAATATTATAAATAAATATTATATAAATTTTCTTTAATATTTTTTAATATTCTTAATTATTTTAAATATTCTTAATTATTTAAATATAAAATGACAATAAGAAAAAACAATTAAATTATTATTACTTGAGTTGCTGTACTGTATATCTTAATCAAAATCCTTAACATTTCAGCTGCATCCAAACTAATTTCATTAATTAAACCTTGTGATATTCGTAAAACAATTGGAAAAGTCTTTTCAATTATTTCCGCAATATGTTCATTATTACTTCGATTCTTAGTCCTCCATCTAAAAAACAAATGACAACCAAAATTAATATTTCTTTAAAGCTCATTATTATATTATTATATTATTATTATTATTAATATATTATATATTATATATTATATATTATTATTATTATTATTATTATAATTATTATAATTATTATTATTATTATTATTAATTATTATAATTATTATTATTATTATTATTATCATTATTAATTATTATAATTATTATTATTATTATTATCATTATTATTGTTTATTATTATTGTTGACACTCACTGAAATACTTTAATGACCTGTTGTAATGCAAATAATCCTATATATACATTATTAGGATTATTATTCGTCAAAAAATCATGAACTTGACTCATAAAATCCTGCCATTTATCTGGGTAATCATAGGATAAAACTTTCCCTAAAGAATCGAGAAGTTGAACTCTATTGATTTAATTTATTATATGATTTATACAAACGAATTAGTCATTATTTTTATTAATTTGTATTGTAAAAAAAAAAAATATTATATTTATTATATTTGAAAAAAATTAAGATATATATATGATAATTATCATTTATATTACCTTACAACATTGGGTACTGTTACCAATACATGAAAAATATTTCTTTTAAATGCTTCCTTATCTTGTGGATCAATAGGTACAACGGACGGTGATGAAGAATTGTTGTAATCCCAAGATGATCTAATCCGATTTTTTAGATATATTGAAACTTTTTTTTTTTTTTTTTAATTTTTTTTTAAAAAAAAAATATAATAATAGACATAGAAATGATTTAATCCTTTGAACTTTTTTAATATTCTTTTTTCTTTTCACACACACATACAAAAAAAAAAAGTTGCTTATGTACTAGCTTGTCTTGTTCCAAGTTCAGATTCTTGAGAACTCAGTATTTGCAGAAGTATTGAAATAAACCCGGGATTTGTTTCTATCTTGATACATTAATAACATGATGTCATTGGTTATTAGATCTTTAAATAAAATTTGCAGAGTAGTTTCGAATAACGAACCTGTTTCAATTGTAATTCAGCTTGCTTCTGTAAATTTTGATCGGAATGATATGTAGCGCTAAAAAGTTGATATACCGTGTGAAAATCCATTATTTTTTTTTTCTTTATTGCAAAAAAAAAAAAAAAAAGGTTTTCAAAAAAAAACTCGTGTAAAATAAAATTTATCCGTTATGATTGGATAAATAAAATTATCAAAGATTATCATTTTCTTTTCGTGTGACTATTAATTATCTACGAAAAATATATAAATATATGAACCAACTTTCTAATTTTCTTCGACAGTTAGAAGAGTAGACATGATTCGTTTATTCTGATAAAAAATTTTTTGAATCCTTGTCAATTTTAATATTCAAAAGAGACCAGGATATCGATGACATAATTAAAAAATAACTAAAATAACTGGATCGTGGGTGAATTCTTTTCTCGAATTGTCGAATTGAATATACAATATACTGTACACAATTTGAACCGGCGACGAGGATTATGTAGGGTTAATCAAAAAAAAAATTAAAGACGAACGTTCTCACACAAATTCAATCGAAATAATGTGGTTTAACTTTTGACTAAAAAATACTCCGAGCAAAAAATCATTAAACATGCAATTCAAAATTATTACCTATAATTTAATTGGCGAAATGTTTGGTGTTACACAATTAAATAAAAATATTTTCTTGAATTTATTTTTTAAAAAAATTAATAATATTCTAATAATAATTTCAATATTAATTAAAATTAAATCAAAATCTTCCTGAAATTTAATAATAATAATAATAATAATGACAACTAGATTTTCAAGTAATAAAATTTTCAGGAACGATTACTACCCGTCTCTGAAACACTTGCTTTTACCCTTTCCCTAAATTGTTCAAAAGCTTTTTTTGTTGAAACTCTAATTCGATCAGTTATACTTTCAACTGAATCTAAAGCTGGTCTTACATCCATATAAAATACCGGATTATCTCCTTCATCCGGACCTGAATAATAATCAATTACATATCGTATTTCTTTACCACATCTATCAATTGTCCAATCATGACGATCAAAAGGTAATGGTGTACTAAAACAAAATAAAGAAAATATTTTAATTAAATAATTAATTAATTAATCAAAGTAGACATATCATTATAAACGAAATGATCAATAAATCATTCTCTCTCTCTCATCTTACCTTAATGATGGAAATATTTTTCCGGTCCATTGAAGAATTCTAGCTTTTGGACTAAGATCATTTGGTCGTCCATGAAAACGTTTTAATTTAGGTCCATCACACATACTATTTATATATATATTATATATGAAACAAAATAATTTTTTTTTTCGAAATATTAAATTAATAATAAGAAATAAATATAAATAAAAATAAATAAAAATTGAAATTTATGTCACTATAAAATATTTCATATTAAAAAGAAACGTGAATCTATTTACTCTGATCTGATTTACTCTGATGATGATGAATGATGATGATTATGATTAATATAATTTTTTTTTTTTTTTTATGAATTTTCCTTATATTTTATTTTTCTCCTGAGATTTATTTACACATTTGTATAAACAGTTTAAAATAAAATAATAAATCTTCCCAAAATTCATCATTTAAAATATATTAATAATCAATTCATCAAAAAGATATCATATATAACAAATATAAACTGATTATAAAAAAAAAAAAAGGCACTTGCCATTTCTTTTGATTTTCCCATTTTAAAACTTCATCCCAAGCCTTTTCATTCAAAAAATTATGTATATCTACCATTGTTTCGATACTTTCTTCAGGAGTTTCCCATCCTTTTCTAACTAATGCATTATAAAATTGTTGTGGGGAAGGATATTCCCAATTTTCCATACTACTAACTTTGGGAATTGAAGAAATCACTCGAGATGTTGGAAGTGACAACTTTTGACCTGGCATTGGTTGTTGACTAAGATTTGGCATTTGATTATCTGGTGATATGGTGGCATCCCCAGAATGAACTACTGGACAAGTCTTATTACAATTGTTTGAAGTATTATTATGTGATGATTTATCGTCATTATTATTTGTTGAATTGTTGGTACTTTTCTCTTTTTTGTGCATGGGGCATCCGGAAGGAATTTTTGATTCAGTCATTTATTATAATTATTATTATTATTATTATTAACGATAAATCAAAATTTCATGTTGTGCCGAAAAAATTTCATTTTTAGATGATTTAGTCGCACAGATTATCATTACATTTTTTATTATTATAAGATTTTTTTATTGAAAATTCTTCAAACATATACAACATATATTAATATATATTGTATATATAAAAACATTGAAATAGTTATGTTTGGAATATTTAAAACTAATGTCACGAGAGTCTATAGAATAGCCAATATTCAAAATGCGGTACAAAGAAGTTTATTTCGTAATAGAACTTATACTTTACTCACTTCCAAAAAGTTTAATAAAAATAGTTCGGAAATATTAATAAAAGGTTCTGGAAGAACAAATTTAGTCTGGATAAAACAAAAAAATATACAACGTATGCTCGCAACAGAAGTTGATCCATTAAAACTTCATAATGATAAAAGTAATGATAATAAAAGTAATGAAAATAAAAAAAGTAATGATAATAAGGAAAATAATGATAAAAACAATGAGAATGAAAAAAATCATAATCAACCAACCAATAAAGAGCAAAAAACCCAAAATGAGGTTGAAATTCCAAAAGGATTTTCGAATTTTTCAAATAACAAAGATGGTAAAAAAAAAAATTATACAAATGAAGAAGTTCAAAAATTTAAAGCAGGTGAAAGTCAAAATTCACTAAATCAGCAACAACAACAACAACAACAACAACAACAACAACAACAACAGCAACGACCACAAATTCCAAATGTTCAAGAATTCAATTTACAGCTTAATGCCAATACTATAATTCCTTTCCTATTTTCTGCATATGTTCTTTATAAACTTACAGGAAGTAATGATAATTCTCATGAAATTACTTGGCAAGAATTTCAAACAGCATTTTTGGATAAAGGTTTAGTAGATAAATTGGTTGTGGTAAATCGAAAAAAAGTTCAAGTTTATTTACATTCAAATGCAACTGGTCAAATGTATCCAAATACTTCAACTTCATCAGGTATAAATTATTATTTTAGTATAGGATCAGTTGAAGCATTTGAAAGGAAATTAGATTCAACTCAAAAAGAATTAGGAATTCCTTCATCCGCAAGAATTCCAGTAGCATATCATGATGAAATAAGTTTTTTTAATACTTTATTACATTTTGCACCAACCCTTCTTTTGGTTGGAGTATTATTTTATATGACAAAACGTGGAGGTACAACTGGTTCACAAGGAATTTTTGGTATTGGAAAATCTAAAGCGAAATTATTTAATCAAGAAACTGAAGTAAAAGTTAAATTTAAAGATGTTGCTGGTATGGATGAAGCTAAAGAAGAAATAATGGAATTTGTTAAATTTTTAAAAGATCCATCTGCTTATGAAAAATTAGGTGCCAAAATTCCAAAAGGTGCTATTTTAAGTGGTCCACCTGGTACAGGTAAAACTTTACTTGCTAAAGCAACAGCAGGTGAAGCAGCCGTACCTTTCTTAAGTGTTTCTGGATCAGAATTTGTAGAAATGTTTGTTGGTGTTGGTCCATCACGAGTTCGAGATTTATTTGCTAATGCTAAAAAGCATTCCCCATGTATTATTTTTGTTGATGAAATTGATGCAATCGGAAAATCCCGTGGAAAAATGGGTCAATTTGGTGGAAATGATGAACGTGAAAGTACTTTAAATCAATTACTTGTGGAAATGGATGGATTTAATTCAAATGAACATGTGGTGGTTTTGGCTGGTACAAATAGACCGGATGTTTTAGATTCCGCTTTAATGCGTCCAGGTCGATTTGATCGACACATTGTTATTGATCGACCTGATATAAAAGGTAGAGAAGAAATTTTTAAAGTACATTTAAAACCTATCAAAACTAAAGAGAACATTGATAATTTATCAAACAAATTGGCTGCATTTACACCAGGATTTTCTGGAGCAGATATAGCTAATATATGTAATGAAGCGGCATTAATAGCAGCACGTTATCAAAAGGATTCAGTATCTGAGGAACATTTTGAACAAGCCATTGAACGTGTAATTGCAGGAATCGAAAAAAAATCACGTGTATTATCTCCTGAAGAGAAAAAAACTGTAGCATATCATGAAGCAGGACATGCAATTGCTGGATGGTTTCTTGAGCACGCTGATCCATTATTAAAAGTATCAATTATTCCTCGAGGTATTGGAGCACTTGGATATGCACAATATTTACCAAAAGATCAATATTTATATTCAACAGTACAATTATTAGATAGAATGTGTGTAACTTTAGGTGGACGAGTTTCCGAACAAATCTTTTTTAATATAATAACAACAGGAGCTCAAGATGATTTACAAAAGGTTACAAAAATGGCATATGCACAAGTTACGATTTATGGTATGAATCCAATTATTGGACCCATATCATTTCATAATTCAAATGATTCTGAATTACAATTTCAAAAACCATATTCAGAAGAAACAGCTAAAATGATTGATAATGAAGTTCGTAAATTAGTATCATTGGCTTATAAAAGAACTATGAAATTATTAACAGAAAAAAAGAAAGATATAGAGAAAGTTGCACAACTTTTATTATCTAAAGAAGTTTTAAATAAAGAAGATATGATTAGATTATTAGGAGAAAGATCATTTATAGAGAAGAATCCATATCATACAATATCACCAGATGCAGATGGTATACCAGATATACCAAAATCATAACAATTTTCATATAATGTATGAACTATTTAATTTTTATTAATTTTTTTTTATATATTAATTAATATTGATTATAGAAATTTGTCTATAATGTAATTTATTATTTAATTTTTTTTTTTTTTTAAATAGATTAAGTAAATATCACTAGTTTCACTAGTTCGTATGATTTAAATGAAAATATATTATATGTATATTTTAAAAATAAATTTGAATAAATTCTTTTTATTCTATATTTTAATAAACTTCAAAATTGAAATATCTTTTTAAAATTCCTAAATTCTAAAATTAATTCAAGTCAAATAAAAAAAAAAAAAAAAAAAGTAATAATTATTTTAGCAAATACATTAAAAAAATTTATAACATGTAAATTTTCGGAAAATTTGTATCTTGATACTAAACTAACACAAGTTAAATAAGTTGAATGAGAAAAAAACAGTTAACTTTTTTTTTGATAATGGCAAGAATAATTTGTGAATTTATAGAAAACAGTACAGAAATATTTGTTATATGGCAATTGGATCTAAAAATTTTGTCAAGTCAAAATATTATAAACCAGGCACCTATCTGAATATTTAATATATCTATTAGGTACTTGATATTTGTAGGATATATTATAAGACAATATATTCTGGAATATATTGTTTTTATAAATATTCTTGATACCAATAAAATAAAATATAACTTTTTACTAATTAAATATAATTCTTTTACTTTTATATATATATATATACATACAAAATTTATTTTTCCTATTTTTTAGTGGGTAAGAACCTAGGAATCTTTGAGCAACAATAAAAAATAATAATAACCATGAAGCTAAAAAGAAATTAAAATTTTTAGAATTGTTTATATAAGAAATTTCATTTCTAATTATTATCGTTATACTTAATAGATCAACAGAACTCATGAAAAAATTTTTTCATCCTATCCTATTGAAAAAATGTTATCCGAAATTTCATTAAAAAATTTTTTATTTAAAACTTTATTTTGAGCAAAAATAAATTTTATAAATAATATTTTCTTTAATCTAATTATTATTCAATTGGTATTTATAAAACTTTATGGCATTTTTTTGATACTTTCGTAAAAGTAAATAAAGTTGTCCTGCAAATTGAAAATTACTTATACCTGAATAATAGATTTTAGAACAATAGTTATTATTATAATTTGACATCCGAAATTAAAATTTCATTTAGTTTTGGGGATGAAATGTTTTTCATAGAAGACGAAATTATTTTATTTAAAAGTAGAGAAAAAATAGAAAAAATGTTGGTCCTGGGACAGTTAGGTCAAGTTTGATTATTTTATAGAACAAATCTCGGATATCATTTTTTAGCATATAGCAAGATTTAAATTTTTTCAAATTTTAAACCCAAGAAGTATATATCTGCTTATACATGAATGGGAAAATTTATATTTTCTTCCACTGAGATAAGTATATCAGGATTTATTTTTTTTTAGTCTACTGTATATACAAAAATAATATTAAATTTATCACATATCCCTTTGATAATAATTATAGATTAACCATTCAAGGAAATGTGTGTTTATTTTAATGGTTGTAGACATTATAGATTTATAAATATTGATATATTTTTGATTTATATCAGTTTGAGATTCAATCATATCCAAGAAAAGATGTGTTCTTCTTATCAATATAAATATTCACAGAAGCTTAAATATGATATCGAAGCTAATATGAATCATTAGAGCGAATCATCTTAATTATTACATATTCAATCTCTTCCCAACTCAACTTTGAAATAGATGATGCTGAAAATGTTTTAATTCTTATTATTTCTTTTCCTTTATCATTAAAAATACTACTAAAAAGAGCAAATATTTTCCAGTTTGTTGATTAAAGTATCATTCGATATTTTTTCCTTAATTTGTTCTTGAACTTCCTCATTAACTAATACTTGTGATATCTGATCCCCATATTTCAAATTTTTATAATAATTTAAACGTTGTGATAAAGCTTCCCCAAAGAAATAATAGCATCTAATGACTTCATGATTGGTGCTTTCATTTCTAGATTCTGTGTAGATAATATTATCATTGAGTTACAAAAAATTCGTAGCATTTTCATTATATATTACATTGTCTTCAGCTGTGCTGGCTCTCTGAAGTATCAGAAGTCAATTCATGAATAAGTTTTTTTAATATAGACGAATTTTCACTCGAGTTCACTATCACATTTTTTCTGAGGTTATTCTCACATAATGGAGAGTCATAAAATATTAAGAATTTTCGATGCAGTCGCGATGATATATATATATGACCACAGATAAGTAAGATAATTGCTTTTTTATTTCGTATAAAAAAAAAAGATCCTGATTACATAATGTACATGCATGAATCTAGTTCGAGAATATGAATTTTTTAGAATATTTAATGCAAATATTTCGAGACTTGAGACATAATAAATTCATAGAACAGATAAGTTTTTCGAAACATTCACATTTTAACATATCCGTTTGCACTTATATATCGATTTTATGACGGTACTCATATTGGTTTTTATTATGGCGGCGGGATCGAAAAGGAAAAGCGTCTTAAATATTGATATGGGTCGCACGAAAAATGTGTGGATTTATGGGATAACTTTTGTGATAAGTTACAAAAAAAAAATTGATTAATTATCGAGATCGCGATTTAACATATATTATCTGATTCGTTCTTTTGATGTATCCGCCGATATATGGTTTTTGCACAATGCCATCACCATTCCCTGACTATCAGCGGATCAGCAATTAATTCATCAGATGATCGACCCAGTAATAAATATTTTACAACCAATAGTTATTACATTAAAGTTATTTGAATAGATATATCTACTTTTTCGTCAATTTTGAGAAAATTATTAGAATAATTCAAGAAATTCCATGTGCCTTTAATGATCAAATACAAAAACTTATTGAAGAATGGTGGAATAAGCTATGGCAGTTGCATATATGTTTCTTGGCAGGATCTAAATAAAAATTCACCATATGAATCATATGATATGATAATCATATAATTTGGGAATCAATAATGTAACATTAAATAATTGTGCAATAAATCAAACAAACAAATCAAATTACCAATTATGAAACAATTATCTGCAAAATGGCATATAACATATCTGATATTTTTTTATTATCAATTTTCATTGCCATAATTGCAATCTGCGAATTATATGCTTGGGGCATCTTGACAATGGAGATGTTAGTTTAATTTCAAGAACAATGATGATAAAATAGTATTAATGTTTAACTATTTTAAAGAAAAATTAAAATGATCAAATTTTTTTATATTACAAGTCACAATAAAAAGAATTTTTAGTAAATTTGACAATTTACAAAAAATGTTAAAAAAAATCATAAAAAATCAAGAAAAATACAGGATGATATAAAGTCAATCAAAGAAGAAGTAACAATACTTCATATGACCAAGATTGTGTTGATGTTAGTAAGGATATTAAATTTTGAATATTTCACAAATACTCATAATATTAATAATGTTTTATAAATAGTCTGTAATATTGAAATCAGCTCAAGATTTTTTGGAGAAGATAATATATTCAAACTATGATTAATTTAAAGAAACAGCAAAAACTTTTATAGAAGAATCTGATAGTGTTTTTTTTTCTTCCTTGGGTTGTAAATAAGATCTATTCTACTATAAAAAGATACAAGTTATATATGTAAAATTTATAAATTAGTATTTTAAGAAGTTTTGTAATTAATTTTTTAAAAAATTTGTAGTTAACAAAAAAGTTTCAAGCTTTATGGAATATTTTATGTGCATGAGTAAAAACATTGTTACTGGTGGTTCCTGGTTCTTTTGGAAACAAACCAGTAGAGTGACTTAATAGTTCTTTTAAGGAGTTTATAGTTCTTTTCCAAAGGTAAGACTGTTATTCAATTGTTTTAAAAGGTACCACTGATTTAATTATTTTAGAAAGGAAATCAGACCTTTCATCAAATTTATTCCAATTTCTTTTCAAGTTCATCATCATCCTTAGTGTTAATATCCATCCATTAATTATTTTTTAATTTCATCAACTTTGAATATTATTTCCAATTATTCAAATTAATTATATTATTTCAAGTCCAGGGTTTTTAATAATAGTTTGTAATTAATTTCATTAACTCAAAAATAATAATATTATAAAATTATACAATCAAGTATTTAATTTTATAATATCCATTATTCCTTTGTTAACTATATATTTTATCATTTAATATGACTTTTATTTAATATTTCCAATATTTATTATTTTATT